TCAGAGCCTGTGCCATCGCCCCCTGAGTCTGTTGCACTGTGGTCATGAGCATCGTCTGGTTGTTCATCGACTGCTGAGTCATCTCCAGTAGAGCTTGTTGTCCCGACACCAGAGGGGTGATGGCCTGGGCGAGCACTGTCGTCATCCCGGATAGGAGTTGGCTGTTCGACTCCTGCGAACTCTGCAGCTCTGCTGGAGCCACGTAACCCTGTGAGCTGGCGGCTGCCTCTGCCTTCGCCTTCGGAGCTGCCTTGGGCTCGAAGGGGTTCGCCGTGGCCACATAGACGATCTCCTTGCCCTTCTTGTCCTTCTTCTTGCCTTCCATCTTCGCGGAGAAAGCCCGATAGGCCAGCTTCGTCTTGCATCGAAGGCACCGGTCCCACTCGCCGTACTGATTGCGTCCCTGAACCACACAATTGTGAGGATGTGGACAGGGCCTCTCGGTCTTGATCTTCTCCAGGTTGCGATCTTGCTCCTTGTCCAGCAGCGCACTCGCCAGGCGTGGCCATGGCGAAGGTGGTTCCCGCGGCATTCACAGATGATGCCGTGGCGTAGCTGGGACCGAGAGGGGTCGCTTCGAATTTTGAGCACAAAACGCACTGGGAAGATGACGTTGCAGGCTTCTTCACAAACACGGTGACGCCAGTCCAACGAAGTTCATCCACCTTTGACATACCTGCAAGCCTCCAAGAGTCCACATGATGCGAAAAAGTCCCATCTTCATGCTGCTTCAAAGTGATCCTAACATCTTCCAGACCCTCGAGTTCATCTGAGGATGGTGTAAAAAGAGCTCTGCGTGGAGTTTCATGTGTGTGCGAGACAATTGATCCTACATCCAAACCCCACTTCCCAGCAGCGCAGCGCGGCAGCTCCATGTATGCCTCAGAAGCGAAGCTGTCATCCAAGTTGAAAGCGCCGCTCTGCAAGCCGTACTGGTCGCGGACTTGCTGAGGGACTGGAAACTCACCTCCGGTCCATTTGGTCACATCTATTGTGCGATGGCCAGAGGACATGCGATGCATGATGTCCTCGGAGTCGTAGTTCTCATACTTCAAAACGTTCCCTTTTATGTCGATAATGGATCCAAGGCTTTCCAGCAAGCCGATACTCAAAAGGTGGGGGATGTCCTGCTGCACCACTGTGATCTTGACGATGCCCGGTGCACCTCCGAGGACACAAGGAATAAGGGCCAGGAAGAGCGTCTTGGCCTTACCTCCAACGCCAGAGGCCGCCCCGGGCTCCTCATCCAGCTCAACCGGCTGCAGTCCACAACCGGCCAACTTCTTCTTCAGCTTGTCGTAGGCGGGCTTGCCTATCAAGTCCTGTCCAGCGCCCGGATCCACGATGGCGTGACCTGGAGGAAGAGCGATGAAGACCTGTGTCAAAGATGGCGATGGGCGAAAGCGGTCTAACACCTGCTGAGCGAACTCCGGAATGGCCATGCCCACAAAGGCCTCTTTGCCAGTCTCTACCTTCTGGAACTCATACTTCTCCACGTGGTCCTTTGCCAGAACGGCGCACTCCTCAGTGATCGGCTTGATGTCATTCTCCAAGATCAAGTAGTTGAAGCCGCCCAGACCTTGATGCGAGCCCGAGCTTGAAGCGGATGAGGAAGCACCTAGGAAGACGAAGGCCGTGGAGTTGTTCTTATTCGCTCCACCACGCAACTGCTTCTCCTGCTCCAAGCGATCTGCCTTCGAGCGGTATGCCTTCTTGCAATCTTCTGCCCAGTGTCCTCGCTCTCCACAGTTGCTGCAACGTGACACCCTTTTGATGGCTTCCACATTCATGCCACGACGCCCCTTCTGCCTCGAAGCACCATAGGGTCTTGAAGACCTGTCTGCAAAATGCCTGCGGTCCTTCTTCTGAGCCAGCTTCAGCTTCTTGTTCTCCTTCCAGGAGCGTCGCTCCTTCTCTAAAGCCACGAAGACCTCGACAGCCACCTTCTCATCGAGGTCCATCTTCTCGATCTCGACAAGGATGTCTTCCTGGTCCTGCGTTGCCAGAGAGGACGTTTCCTCCTCATCCTCAGTCTTTTCCTGACTGTCCGACTCCCCAAAGGCTGGGAAATTCGAGGACTTGCCCTTGTGCGACAGGCTCTCTTCTTCTAAGTCCAGGACCTTCAGGGCTTGTGACACCATGCGATAGTCGTTGGAACCCCCAGTAAGCGTCCGCAGGTTCATCATAGCTTGCTTGCTGAGGTTGGCGTGCTCCTCAAGCATGATGCCCTTGAGATTGTCAGGGATCTGCAGGTACTTCTCTGCCATGCTGAAGTCCTGATCGCGCCTCAGTGCGAACTGCGAGATGGTCTCTTCGTTCTTGCGTCCGCCCTCAAACAGCGCCTTTCTCACAACCCGTCTCATCTCAGATGCCTGCTTCTCTCCGGCGAGCACGTCCAGGATGTTGAGCACCTCCACCAAATAGTCCTGTCCTGTGATCACCTCGTCGGACAGATGCTCGAAGCGCGCCTGAAGCTCCCAGTCTATGGTCTTGAAGATCCGCTCTGCTCTGCGGTTGACAGTTACGTCTGTCGACTGATTCCATCTTTGGATGGAGCGCCTCCACAGGCAATAGTTCGGCCACCCGGCCCAAGTAGGTGGATCTGTGAAGTCCTTTTGTTTCGGTGAGGCCGACCACCAGTCCTCGCTCCAACCCCATTGGTCGTTCCAATCCCATTGGTCGCGACCAATCCTCCACTGACGACTCTGCCATTCCCCCATGCCAGCGTCGGGAGCGTTTGCGGACTGATATCGGTCCCATGCCTGCTGCCAGTCATCGCGCACACCGTCGGGTCGTTCTGCGCGTTCTCCTGAAGCTTCACCTCCTCCTTCATGATCTTGTCCCACTCGGATGAAGTCATCCACAGTGCCACCTGACTGCGTTCCATCTGCTTGTCCACCGGGTCCATTGCCTGGCACTCCGCCTCCTTGGTCAGGCATCGCCGCCATGGCGCTCCCTGCGGAGGATCCCCGGAAACACGGGGCTGCCAAGGCTCCGCGCTACCAACTGAGAAACAACACGGCGGGGAAGCAACCCAATGGCTGACGGAGCCTTTTGTGCCAAAGGAGGCTGCGTGATTGCAGCTGCGTGTGGTCAAGTGCCACCATGCCTCTATACAATGGTTACTCGGTGGGCCACATTTGCAAAAGTGTAAAGTGCTGAGTGTGGAATGTAAGGTGTGGAGTGTGAAGTGTAAAGGGTGGAGTGTGGAGTGTGGAGTGTAGAGCAGGCAATGCGACACATCTGAAGTGCTGCGCCTGGCACGCAAAATGACGACAGAGATCTCCAAAATGCTGCGCCTGCCACGAAAACTGCAATTCATCTTGCGAAAACGTCGCAAAAGTATTGCGCCTGCCACACAAAACGACTTTCGACACGTTACAAAACACGTCTGAATGTCACGAAGTGCCACCCCTGCCACACAAAACGAAGCAACGCGACGTTTGCAAATTGACCCCATCTGCAGAACTTACCTGCCGCACACAAAACGACTCAAGATCTCGCCGGTTTGCATGATATGAAAGTATCATGCTGCGTGGATTCGTCTGCATTTTGAGCCGCTTCGGAGCCTCGACGGAAAACACATTCGAATAAAACCTTCGGTTTTGACCCTCAAAAGGGGTTCTCAACAAGCTTCAGTAGCTTAAACTATGTGTGCCCAACCTCTTGCAAAAATGTTCTCAAGGTGTTCCCTCTGAAATCCTTTAACTGCATAGTTTATTCACCAAAATCAAGTTGCAAAAGGAGTTGGAAAAAGGTTTCATCAAAAAGTAAAAAGCTGAGGCCTAGCAGCCTATAATTCTTGAGGCTAAATTTAGCTGGCCAATTGGAGCTGCAGACACCTCTCAGGGGGATTTGAAAAACGAAAAACGAAAAAAAAAAAGAAAAACTTCGGAAACGTCTATGAAACACATCTCTGGAAACATGCACAAAACACGTGTCACACGTGTCACACGTGTCAACGTGTCACATGTGTCACCTCAACAGACATCAACAGACCACATTTACCACATTTCAGAAAGTCGCTAAACACCATAAGACACCTACCTTTAACAGTCTACACACATCTTCACATATCTTGACAAATCTTTACACCTTACTCTGTCTTAACATGTCTTAACATGCCTTAACTGACCACAAGTCAAAAGATTCAAAAGATACAAAAGATACAACAACATCTCAGAATGCACAGCAGAATCATGCAGAATCCATGCTCCACTGAAAATTCCGATTGAACATCCAGAAAGGCACGCTCGCTCATGTGATACCGCTTATGTGAGCCCCGCAAGAGGCCAGACATAGCCAGACCATCTTTCTCACTTCATGTCGTACGCTGTAACTGCGCAGGACTGTTCTTTGCAAATGCTGCTGTTCTTCGACTATTAAGACTGGTAATCATGGAACCGTTTCGCCACTGGCTTATTGCGCTCGCGCCTTGCTACAAACCGCTAACAAACTGTGATCTTGCAAAAACAAAAAGACAACGGCTGTGAAAGACTCTCGGGAAAAAGCAGCGAACAAATGCTCAGATCGAGAGATGAGGAAATGCTGCAACGCATGTTTTTCATGTTCTTTCAGATGTTTCATTGAAAAAAGAAAAAACATTGCTCACGTTTGTTCAAACGCACCAAAAAGAAAACATCGCAGTCGAGAACATGTAACCATGCGGGACCATGAGCTTTCTACAAGAAACTCCGGACAAACGTCACTGCAAAACTCCGTGCTCAAGCAAACAAACATCATTAGATCGAAAAAAAGAGACTGAAGGTCACTTCATACAAGTTTCTTCATTCAATTACTTCTGTTGAGCCGTTTCTTTTCTCGAGTCACATAAGTGTCGTTTGCAGGAACATTCTGGCACACACACACAGCATAAATACCTACATAGACACTAAATCATAAATTCTTAAACCTGCAAACATCACAGTTTCATAGGTAGTAGAGTAGTCTAGAGTAGTCTCCAGTCCGTGTTTTCCATGTCATGCCCATGTCCCTCCGTCCTGTACCATCGAGGGCAGTACTTTCCCGCATTCTGCTGTTGCTGCACTGAGTAAATGCCAACCTCAAGACGTGGGTTCTACGTCAAAGGCGAGATGCTCGACATATATGCGACGCAAAGTTCCAAAGTTCTGGTAGACTTCCGGTGTGCATTTTGACATTGCTTTGAGTCGAAATATTGACGACACCCGGAACCGATCGAAAAAATCGAGATCGAAAAAATTGAGACATCGAAAAAATTGCGATTGTGATGAGATCGAAATTTCCGGAATGGATTCGAGACATCGAGAGACGCCTTGGATCCTGAAACGACCCGAAACGGACACCCTCGGCACCGAAAATCTCACCGTGACATAGAATGTATTTTTTATTAATATAAATTATGTATATATATATATATCTGTGTATATATATATATGTATATAATACTTTTCTATTTATTTATGTTTCTTTTATTTGTATCTATTTATCATTGTGTTTTTCATATATTTCTTTATTTTATATGAATTTATATGTATTTAATTCTATTCATCATTATTTATCATTATTTTATCATCTTATTTACCACCTATCACGCCTAAACCCTAAACCTGTAAGGCACAAATTACAGATGCAAATACAGCTCGCTTAAAGAATGAGGAGTCCCGCTTAGAGTTGTGCACCATTGGTGCACCTTCCCCCCATCTAAGTGCCATTTGCATTGCAGTTTTCGAGCCATGTTTAGGCAAATGCTGGGAAAATTGACATCGTCGATGGAGGGTTAAAATGTGTCCAAATATGCTTTGCATATGCTTCCAAAATTTGGTTCCCTAAAGAATCTATTTTAACAAGAGCCAAAGAATACCAAAGAATACCAAAGAACCAATGCAAAGTGGCAGCAATTCTCTGAAGACTTTGTTCAAGTCCGGGCTGATTCTCTAAATTCCAAGGATCCAACAGGACCTGTTGGACCGTGCGAACAGATCGAACAGCTGCGTTGCAAATTTTGATTCAGACTCGTGGCGCTGAGCACTGACTATTCTGACTATTGAGAACATGTTGCATTTTGAGGACACTGAGAAGCCAGCGGTGCCACTTGACGCGGCTGAAAATAAGGCAGCTTTGTGGGGTGCCCACTCAACCTCTCCAAAATTCACAGGTCACAAAAGATCATCACTTCGTCAGGTCAAAAGCTCCATCAAATCATCACAGTATCAACATAGTTATCACCATAGTATCACCACAACATCATTTCGGGTTTGAGTAAAATCGACTTCGACTTCCTCGGATTTCCTTGGATTTCCTTCGACTTTCGAGTTCAATCCAAGCGGCCTCAAAGCTATGCTGTTGAGCGGACATCTCGCACCAAGTTTCTGGGCCTAGTGAAACGAGAAATTGCAACTGGCGAGGTGCCCCGGATCCTCTCGGTCCTCTCACTTCGTGCTCACTTCGTGACAAGTCGTGATCAGTGCAGCCTTCAGCCTTTCCTACGTTTACATTCTGTATCATTCTGTTAAGAGATGTGTATCATGAAATGTGTTTCATATGATCTGTTATAATATGTATCTAATATGAATATGTGTATAATATGTTAAAGTCTAAAACCTCCTGGAAATACTCTTCAAAACTAAGAATGCTCACACCATACTTGTCTCTTCGCAGTCTTCGCAATGTACAAAGCTCCAAAACTCAACCAATTGAACATCTTTAAACAGCGTTTAACCTCAAGGAGTCTTGGTTCAAGGCTGCCCGATGCGATGCTCGTGCAAATCACTCTGTTGTCCTAGCACAGCCATGATCACTAATATCACTACATTGTCCCAAGGCGCTTGTCATGCCAAACATTGCCAAACATTGCCAAACATTGCAACTGTTGGTAGCAGCGGTTGGTAGTTTCACGTAGCTGCACATGGCTGCACGTAGCTGCACGTAGCTGCAGGTAGCTGCACGTAGCTGCACGTAGCTTCTCTGCTGAGTCCTGCTGTTCTGTCAATTTTTAGCCGCGGCCCTCCTGTTTTGCAGTTTCTTGAATCGTTTGAACTCACATTGACGCCCATTTTGTGTCGAGTTGGGGGACGTTCATGCTGTGCCATGCTGCTTCTCTGGATTTCATGGACCTTGGTGCTGGGTGTTGGGGGATCGGGGCTGGGGTGTGAGGTAAGTTGAGTTTCACTGAACCCCTCACAACGGTTCTTCTTCTTCTTCTTCTTCTTGCTTGATTTGAACGACCCAAATGTCAGGCACATTTATTGGGTGAACTTCACTATGCAAGTGAGGAGTGAACCTCGCTATACCCAAATGTTGTCTTCTTCAAAAGCATGCGCACATTCCTTCGCTGGTGGCAAAGCATGGGTCGCTGAGTGTAAGAAGCGACGATTCAACCACCAAGAGATAGAAAGCAAGAAAATGCCCAACGCCAAACGGAATAGCAACTTAGAAACAGGAGTTCGAATGCCAACATCGGAAGTCAAAGCATAGACAAACCGCCTTTTGAAGGATCTTGATGGGTTCTAGTGAAAAAAATCCACCAGTCGACTATGATTGACTGTGTTTGACTGTGCTGTTTTGAGTTTGCTGAGTTTGCATCAGCAATGAGAATCTGCGCCTTCCCACAGGAGAGGATCAAATTGGGATCCATCCTGACAGCCACACAGGGCTGACATCGCTGAATCCGATTTCAGAGTTCACAGCGCTGAACATTTTGAAGGTTTGAAGATGTTTGAAGCCTCTTTGAAGTAAAAATTGGAGAAATCGGAATGTCGACAGTGTCAGACTGTGGATGTGGCTGGTTCCATGCTACGCTGAGCACACCTTTGGTGTGAGGTGCAGTTTCCTGGCGGATCGTACAGAAACGTACTGTAATAAAAACGCACCGTTCTTTAGAGAACCGAGGTTGCGAAGCAAAGCTGCAAGCTTTCCCGGATAGATGAAATAAGGAAGGATGAAATGCCACCTTTTTGCGTCCTTCAACTGTTTTAGACTACACCGTGGAAAAAGTCTCGAAACGTTTCACCCGTTTCACACCACTGGTACTACTTGTTTCACACCACTTACACCATGTGTTTCACACTACGTGTTTCACAGCAGTGTTTCTGTGAATTGCAGTCATTTTTTCCTTGCATCCCAAGTCAATGAAAATGACACGAATGAAAAAACATAATGTCTTGAATCATGCCTTGAAAGGATACTGGCAGTTTCGAAGATCCCACATCTGCATTGATGGCCTTGGCGCAGGAAGTCTCCAAACAACAACAAACAACAACAAAAAACAACCACCCAACCAACCAACCAACAACAGCTGCCGGAGCTGCTTGTAATGCGGCGAGCCACTGCCGATCGTCATCATAGCAAACCACCAGCTGAGTAGGCACCTGGCCAAGTTGCCGGAAGGCATCTGGGGCATCTCAGGCATCCCGATGACTGTTGAAATCATTCGAACCCTCAAGAACCGTTCGACTCACGACAGAATCTGTGATGCCTATGATTGGAGTCGAACTTCAATTCCTTGTGAAAAATGTTCAAGCCCAAAACTCTGAGCGCTGCTTGATTTTTGGGGCGTTTTGCAGCTTGAATTTGATCATGAGGTTGGTATTTGCAGCACTTTGGGTGAATTTGTTTGTTCATGGTTTTGTTGTTTGATGCTGGATCTTGTCAATGTTTATAGGTTCGTCATGTCGCGCGCGCACAACAGTTGAGATAGATTGCTATCTGTTTGCAAGGTATCTGCAGTGCAAAAGAGTACCCGGCGAGCCAGGGGCGAAGTTTCAGGAGGTAAAGACCTGCAGGGCAACAAAAGATGCCTACAGAATGTTTGCCAGGGCACTGTGTGTCGGGAAAGCCGAAATTGTTTGCGCACAACATCCCTGTTACGCAAGATCATCAAACGTTATAAGTTATTACCTTCCGCCCCATCCCCCCATCTGCAAACATGCCGCATATCCAAAAACGTCAAAAACGCTAGGACTGTTTTCCCTCTGCTGGCAAAAACATAAACAGGTATATACCTATATTGGAAAAGGACAGTCCGAAACGTGTGGAAATTTACAAAAGAGAGAAGCTTCAGGCATAGCAGAAACAGCGTGTAAAACAGAAGTTTGACAAAGTTTAAAGCATCCGCCTAAAGAAGAGGCGACAAAACGTTATTAGCCCCCCACCCCCCCACCCAAATGAAAATGCAAAATATGACATGTAACAAGACAACGTTGCAAAAATTAGCAAACCGCCTGGGGTCGTTAAAGGCGCCGTCAGCAAAAACAAACACAACAAAGCAAATCCCACGCAAAATATCCCCTCGTTTCTATTCTTTTCTTTGACTGCATGTCCAGATTTGCACTTTCCGCTCTAGTCTATGTCTATGTTATGTCTAGTGACACACGTAGTGACTCGCATGGTGGCTCACATAGTCTGTCACATAGTGACTCACCATGACTCACCATGACCCACCCTTGTTTTCTGCATTTTCCGCGCATTTTCCTGCACCTCGGGATGCCAAGCCACGCTTGAGCAGCGTAAGCGACTTGCAGGATCCTGCGACAAAGTTCGGCGACGCGATCAAGAAAAGGAATGGAAAAGAATCATCAAGAACCGAGCAAATTAAGAGATAAACTCTCAATCCATTTTGACTTGCGCTCCAGATTTAGTTCAAAGTTATCTGTTCTGTCTCTTAAATATTTAATCTCTTTGGACATTTGACATTTCCAAGAATTTTGTGCCGGTGCACCAAAATCTGCTGAATTGCTCCCTCAGTCAGCCTGGAAACTAATCACTTCCTTCTTCTGCTTCAGATCCCAAACCTGAGAAGCGGGGACCAACAAAAACTCAATAAGGTCGTGCAAGTGTCCAGAATCCAACAGCCCTAGCAGCGCTAACAGCCCTAGCAGCCCTAGCAGCCCTAGCAGCCCTAGCACTTTAGGACTTGTAAAATCTTTAAAGCGATGCCAAGCTGGCCCGGGGCCATGTCATGTCACATTTCTATCGCCAGTCCGACGCTGAGCCCGGCCCTGCCGTCGGGCAGTGAAAAGGCATGTCTGGAACCACTGTTCACCTTCTCAGTTCACGACGACAGTGGTTCCTGTGTTGCTCGATGAACATAAAATGTGCCTTGGTGTTTTCTCTGTGCCCGGGCCGAGCGGAAATGCACGAGTTGAGTCGCAAACCCAAAGAGACAAAGAGACAGAATTCTGACATAGTCAAAAGATGACAAAAAGGATGGGAAAATGTTTGAATTCAAAAATTCAGAAATGTTTGGACAACTGGCTAAATCGGCTAAATTCTCCAAGCTGCGGCACAACACGATTCCACGCGCAAGACAGAACCTGCTGAGCCATGGAAATTGTTATGTCTCAGTTTGTCTCAGTTTGTGTTTTTCAAGTGGTCCAGGTTCTATCAAGTTTCACAAGCTGTTCGAATTGCTCGTCTTGCTCGTCTTAATTCTCTTGGTCTCGGAATGAACCCATTGGGAAGCCATAAAAGAGTGTCTAGACTCTAGACTTTAAGTCAATCTCATTTCCATGCAGATTCTCCTCCTTTTCTCCTCCTTTTTATCAATTTGGTTTCTTTTGGATCGCCTTTGTTACGATTCGTCACTTCTTTATTGTCTTCGTGTTCTAACATCTTCTGACGTTGTCATTGTCCAGCAGACGTGATTTGGACGTTGTACGTCGTACCATGTCGTACCCATTTCTTGGACAGGTACGTCGTACCATGTCCTAGGCCTAACAGCTGGGCGCCATGGCGCCATGGTCTGGAGCGTGTCCAAAACTGTCATTGTCTGTATCGACCTATCGACCTGTATCGACCTGTATCGACCTGTATCGATGTCAATAAGTCAACGATGGAGGCCTCGGTCTTCTGTGTGGAGTTCAAAATAGTTCAAACGTGTATCATTTTTTATGCCAGTTGATATGGTAGTACGCTGGTCAATATCGCAGTCCCTGCACAGAAACACAAATGCAAGTCTATGCAAAGTTCATATGTCAGGACATTGACATACATCGGAAAAATTGTGAGTATATGACAGTATTATCCAGTATGTCAGCATTTATGTCAGTCCATGTGTCAATTGATGCAGGACACATGTGTGTCAATATATTCGTCCACATTGCAGCCCCATGGTACTGAGAAGTACCTGAGAAGTACCTGAGAAGTATCTGAGAAGTACCTGAGAAGTATCTGAGTGTCAAAAACTCTTCGGAGATTCGAGCGACTCCGTGTTCCCCACCTCAGATCCCAAGTGCTTGTTGTTCGTCGAAGGCTCAAACAGGTTCGGCGACGAAGGGCTTTCGATGTTCAAAATTTTCACCTGCACAAGCTGCACAAACTGCAAAGCTGCCACAAAACTGCCACAAACCCGACACCCACCGAGAAATGACCAGAGAAATAATGTGAACCAAGGAAAAAATGGGAAAAATCATGAAAATTCCATTTAAATGTGCAAATATGTGCAACACCTCTTCCATGATGTGCTAGATGTTACACATGTGTACATGTCTGAAAGATTCTGAAAGTTGAATCGATCAAACAAGAGAACAAAACCAGGGCATCAAATGATGACATGGGTTGACGACCAAAAATGCAAAAAAACAACCAAACACAAACTGCGAATATGTTTGCACGAAGAATATGTTTTTGTGAAACACGTTATTCGTATTTTGCATAATTGTTGTATATCTATATAGTATATATATATATATTCAAAGCAATATACAGATACAAAATGATTACATAGTACAGCGCTCCAGTGACCTTACCTTTCTGAGTAATTTCCCAAAGAATGACAGAACTATTGAGAGAAGTTTCGTAGAGAAACGCCTAGGAACAATCCTCACACTACCTCGACTCACATCACTTCCTTTCATTGCCTCAACTTCACATTGCCTCAACTTCGAATTGCTTCAGCCTCACATCACCTTAAGTATCTTAACTTCACATCAATTACTTCCACTTCACATGAACTCAACCTCACATTGCCTCAACTTCGCGTTACCTTAACATCACATGACTTCAACTTCACATTGCCTCAACCTCAGCCTCACATTATTTCAACTTCACATCGCCTCAATGTCATTTTACTCCAACTCCACATCACCTCAACTTCACATCACCTCAGCCTCAAATTACCTTACTTCACACTACCTCCAACTATCATTACCTTAGCTTCACATAACCTCACAATACCTCACTTTCACACTCCTTAAACTCGGTAGGTAGGTAGGTAGGTAGATAGTCAGAGAAAGAGACAGAAAGAGAGAGAGAGAGAGAAAGAGAAGAGACCTCAACCACCTGTCGGTCTATCAGTGGCTTCGCTCTGCCATCCGTGACTCACAACAACCAACCTCTCCTATAGGTTTCCTATTTTTGAAACTTCCGCCACCGCCTTGTGCGGTACTACTGGAATATATACTTATATACGTATATATATATATAACATATGATGTATATATATATATATGTGATATATCAGGGTATATCGATGAAATGGCCCACGTTGCGACGATGTCTTTCAGACGCTGTGTCGTCTTCTATCTGCATCCGTCTTCTAAATATACTTCAGAGTTGCACTTCACAAATAAAACCATGGTAAAGCCGCTTAAAGCCTTCGGTAAAGCATGGTGAAATATGGTGAAGCTTTCCCCCTACAGGAGCGTCACAATGCGTCACATCCGATATATCCAAGTTCAGCACTCCCTGGCGAAGTGGTACAAGTGATACATGTCAAAAGAAACTGAAAGAAACTCACCATTCGACCCCAAACCATCCCAAACCCAAACCATCCCAAACCTCACATCATCTCACTACGGACAAATGTCTTGCTGTCTTGCTTACGGATATTTTTACGATGTTATATAAGTTATATATCAGGGCTCGTTTTCGGTGAGTTTCTTTGGGCTCGTTTTTGTGAATGTGACTGAAGCGCAGAACGAGAGCGCAAGCCGGGATCGGGTGAGAATGAGACAAAGCGCAGAAAGAAAAAGAAAGAAAAAACGGACAGCTTAAAAGAAGACTTAATAAGAAGAGAGAAAAAGAAAGAAAAGAGAAAGAAAAGAAAAAACAAAGAGAAAACATTAATGTATGAAGAATGTTTAACAGCGCTGCAAACAAAAGGCCACGAGCATTTCAAAAGCGGCTCTTTCCGAGAACCCAAACCTGACCAATGTCTTCAAAATAAACAAAAAGGAATGTGGAACTCATGCGTGCAACTGTTCTTCTTGGAACTGTTCTTCTTTGGTTTCTAGATGTTTCATGTCTCTATGATGCTGCAATATGTTTCATTTTTTCATGTTCTTTTTTGAGCTCAAGGTGATGAAGGTGATGAAGGTGATGTTCTCATTCCAGTCGTTTCATTCCTTTCATTCGTTTCCCGGTCTCAGTGTCTCAGTGTCTCAGTTGGTGGGGATGTCTAAAGATGTCTCTCAAGATGTCTCTCAAGATGTCATCTAAAAGTTCAACATAGTCCAACCAAGTTCAACACCAGTTCAACCCCAGTCCAACCTCCGAATCACCGCATGTGGCCATCAAAGTGCTCTTCAGAGGGTGGAACCTCAGAGCAGCAGCAGCAGCAGCAGCTTTTGACTCGTTGCATTCGGAGCATTCGGATCACTCGCCCATCGTCGCCAGTCGTCGGACGCTGAGGCGCCCGGCTCGACGCAGTTCACGGCGCCCTTGTGGACCTGTAACGTGTTGATCACACCTGCGCACGACCACGTTAAGCGCACAACGGAAACGACACGAAAACAACGGAACAGAACGGAGCAGTGAGAAAAAAATGCAAAAAACATGGAAAACGATGGAAAACACACAAGTTGCTCCACACGTTGTTCACACCAGACGTTTCGCTTCGTCATTCACTGTCATTCACTGTCATTCACTGTCATTCACTGTCATTCACTGTCATTCACTGTCATTCACTGTCATTCACTGTCATTCGCTCCATGACCTGACAACATCTCCAATACATGTCCAACATGTCCAATGTATTGTAATATATTGTAATGTATTGTAATGTATTGTAATGTATTGTAATGTATTGTAATGTATTGTAATGTATTGTAATGTGTTATGTTGCTAGTTGTGTTGCTATGCGTCGCTTTACTTTACTTTTGATCTCACCGCATCTCTAATATAGTGCATGCTTAGCGCATTCTCAAACAAAGCTTGCATCATCTTGCATCGAAGCAGTGAAATTGGATGAAACTGGATGAGCAGATATGATATGAGCAGCAGCACATTTGCGACGGATTAGAAACATTTTCTTTTGCAACTCATTTGCAATTTGGATCGGTGTCGGTGCCTTGATCAGAGCCATTGGAATTCAGGATGACGTTGGGATTCCACAAAGACACAATCTCAGGACAGGAGATCTCCGAGAATCTCGTCAAACATCTTCTAAATTCTTCCAAATTTCATCAAAAATTCCAGGTTTACATTCCGAAAGAAATGGAAAGAGGTGGAAAGACCTCAAACACCAGCACGTTCGAAACGTTGAAAACACTGGAAGTCGTACTCAATGTCGCGGATTCCATCAGATTCCATCAGATTCCTCGCAGTGGTACTGACTGCGCCTTTCCGACGGTTCCGACCGTTCCGAGTTTCCACACTCCGTCTTGCAGACCGCCGGCCACACAGCCCATTGGGAACCTTGGCACTGTATGGCACTGTCACACAAGTCACAAGATGTCACGAGATGTCCCGAGCCTATCACACATCCAACACATTTCCGAGATGTCCGAGACATATGCAATCTGAAATTCAACAAGTTTTTGCAACACCTTCCATATCTAATTTTCTTCAGATCTGCAAACCCTTTTGGTTGCTAAAATGTTTGTCTCTTCGCGATATCTCAGCATTTTCCGAAACTCAGTCATCTTCAAGTCATCTACGAGTCATCTTAGAGTCAACACCACTGCTGGAGCATCATGGAGCATCTGGGAGTCTGCACGACGTTTCCGAGCCCAAGCGTCCCCAGGAAATCGTCGAAAATCGACGTCCACCTGGAAAATCCAAGGAAAATCCAAGTAAAATATGCAGCTTTGAAAAAAAAAACATGTTTACCAAAAACAGAAAAATCAAAATGCTTGACGTTCACACGACGTTCACATCCATACGCAACGGACGACATTTTGGCGACGCCAAGTGTGCTGCAATCGAGAAAAACTTGAGGCCGGGAGTGGATGACGAAAGCTAGCGGGGTAGGAGAAAGAAGGAAGGGAAGAGGTGAGTTGCGGAGGGACTGTCATCATCGTGTCGCGGCATTGTTCGTCCCAACGAGGATGCAACAATGATATATTGATATATGAGATATAACAATGATATATATGGGGGAGGGGGCAGGGGGGGGCCCTTTCGCGTGAAAAATCACGTGATGTCCTTGAGCAGCCCCCCCAATACTTGCTAAAGCAAGAAGACTCCAGCTAGCTGACGCTAGCTTTCCTGAAAACTTGACACATGCAATACTTTTGTGATTGGATCGATGTTTCTACTTTGAGAATTTTCAGGGAATATAGAGAGAACCTAAACTTTCCTCCTGTCATCCTGGCAGGAAACAATTTGGAAAATCCGTCGGAATGTGATGTGTTTCTGATATTTGTTTTTCTGATATTTTCTGATACAGATATACCTGCTATATATTTTTTATTTCTGTTGTAATGTTGGCACGCGGATGCAATGCGGGTGCGGCCTTCCATTCGAATGGACGCTTTGACGTCCATGTCTGCCCCACTCCTCAGATCCCACGGAAACATATCCATAGCCTATCCATATTATCTCCAGAAAAGTATTTGTTAAAAAAAATGAAACAAAACATAAAGAAACATAAAGAAACACTAAATGTGAAAAAATGAAGAACATAGAAAGCATGTTGAAAACATCTCATGGAATAAGCGTTCTTGTGGCAGCTTCCGGAAAGAAGTCCTGCCAGCATCGAAGGAAACGAAATCCAACGTTGCATCTGACGCCTCGGTTGCACAGTGAAAAAACACTTCAAAGTTGGTACCAGAATTTCTACTGGAACTGAGAATAGGATGAAACATTCAAAAAAAACATCGGAAATCAAAGGAAAAAAATGAACACGCTACCGATGCTACCACTACTAGGCCTGATTTTTTAATTCATTGAATTCGTCTACGATTCGTCTACCCAGGGTCCCAACCGAAGTACCCACTGAAGCACTGCCCAAAGCCAGCAGGTTTGCACCTGCCTGAAACGAGAACACAAGTCAGATGTCATCGCAAGCATAACGACGTCATATAACATATGTAACATCGTCATAACATAGCATAAATTTAGCATAACTACAATCGAAGAGCCTAGTGCCCCGGGGTGCCCTAGTGCCCTAGACCCTCCAACAAAACCAGGTGACTGTGTTGATGCTAACATATGCTAACAGCTGTGTTGTTCCTAAGGCTAAGGTATTTGCAAAAACCAGCAAGGGGGTTACGAGGATGCACAAAGGAAACGCGGTACGAATACAAACATAAATAATTTTGAAAACAATGTTACACCGATATAATATAGACAGAAAAAAACGGAAAAAAACAATGCAATGTTTCAAGGTTCGGCTAGGTTCAGCAAACAAACGACGTACGATTCCCATACCCAGAGATTGCCCAACAAACGTTGCTGGGAATATCCATGTCAAAATGTTTCGGCATTCGAAAAGGCTTACAAACCCATGCTGCGAAACAAGCCAGAAAAAAATTACTACACTACCAGCAAACCCATGTCCAACATCAACATGCAAGGCAACAAAATGCAAGGAAAAACAACAATAAAAATGCAAAACAAATTTAAGACAGACAAGGAAACAATCTGCAGCATTTGTGTGAGATTTTGGAACAAATTAACAAGAATGTTGACATCACCCGAGTTACACGTTTTGGCTGCCATGCCAATAAACTACGTTGGGACGCAAAGTGGAAAACAAAATCGGACAGCAAAATGCAGAGAAATTTCAGCCAACAAAAATTCTTGAAAATATGATTGAAAAATCTGTTTTGTTTGCACCTAAGGAAAATGTTTTACCTTTGCCTCAGCAGGGCACCAAGCCGTGTGAGCTGTCCGCTGCGTCTGCTTCAACGGCCTCGACATTTGGTGTACCGACGAAACTGCCAGAAACTGAGCAAACTCCAAAGAATCAGTGAATTTTGTGTAACCCGCAGGTGTGGTTGACGATGCATCTCGGCAAACATGTTGCACACATCTCCATCAATCTCAAACATCCATGCGATCCCATTGTTCCCACGGGGCTGCGGCTGACTCATCCCGCCTTACCGTTCCAAGTGCCAGAAGTCACCACATTACCAACACCAGTGCCCATGACAGCGTCACTGTTTCCAAAAACAGCATTTCTGAGTACCAAACTCTGTCCCCCCCCTTAGGGGCGGGCCTCGGCAAAACAAAGTTCGATTTGCACTTACCGGAACCCGGTATGAAACAGCGAAACAGTGTTTTAACAAAGGCGCAGACCTCACACGGCGCGGCCAAAATTCCAATCCCACTAAACCGAAAAATTGCAAGTCACACGGGCCACACATGGTGTGGTTTTCCACTTCCCGGAATCAAACCAAGTACAGTATATAAAATTTTGTTTTCAACACTGTCGAAAAATTTCCCCAGATGTTTAATGATTAATGAACTGCCCAAATATGTTCAAATGAAGGTTTGCCACCCGGCAAATGGAAACAAATGGCCAATGTCAATGTTCCACTGGAATGGCAGGAGCCACAACAATTTCCAAAACAGTGAAAAAAATCCTCTTTGATAATGCATTTGTTTTTTTGCCCGCTGCCATCCTCAGATTCCCAGGTTTCTGTTCTGGAAACTGTTGCAGCACTGCAGCACTAGTCACGGTCAGTGACCCAAAAAACGACACAAGAAAGATTCCAAAATCAAACGAAAAATGCTATAGTGCCACTTCTCCAATCCGAGTTCATCAAGAAAGATCTAAAAAAACCAAGCGAAAAATGTAGTAGTGATTAATCTTCACCCAGCTGACCTCGCAATGTCACTTCTTTTTCCAACAAGGGCGTCTCGATGCTGGTCAATGCCAGGTTTGGGTTTGGCCAGTTTTTGCTGCAGGGTGGCCGTGGGTGGGCCAGCAAAAGTGACCGAAACAACAAACATTAAATGAATTGACATGATTCACATGATATTCATGTTCAGACAAACTCACATGCCTATTCGACCTTGATACAAATTGTTCGGCCATTCGTATGCACTCATCGTTGGGGTGCCGAGTGCCTTGAGGAAGGGGCTGTCAGCCATCTGTGGCACCGGCACGGAAGTAACGGCTGAGGCTACACGGCGTAGGTCGCTATCCTGGATTTCATTTGACCTTGATGTCTTTTTTGTGATGTCTGCCTCCGCATTGATCCACATTTGGCTTAAGGTGAGGCCCGCTTTCGGTTCCATGTACCATTTGTTCCAGACTGCTTTGTGCAAAGACGGTCCAATCTGTACAAACTGTATTAGAACCAGCGGGTCCAATGATGGTACAGTTAGACAAAGAAACAGTCCCCCATTGAAAATGACACCAGTCAACAACCCAAAGACCGGGGTATGTTGGGGTCAACCAGTAGAGGTGGGGAGTTCCAAAAGCACCACCTCCTAGACCACACAGTGGTGGTGCATGGGGATGGTGGTGGGCAAACGAATCAGGGGAAACTTGAAGCAAAATGGCCACGGACCAGATACTGAAATTTCCGGGTCCAAAGTATGAACACATATGTACAAGTACATGACACGTTCATACAACAGCTTCCGTTGCTTCAGTTTCCCTAATACAGAATTATGTGCATGACATTCCAAACACATGTATCAAGGCAGCCGCACAGGTGCTTCTGTTTTAAGCGTGGTGCAAAGACGGTCCAATCTGTACAAACTGTATTAGAACCAGCGGGTCCAATGATGGTACAGTTAGACAAAGAAACAGTCCCCCATTGAAAATGACACCAGTCAACAACCCAAAGACCGGGGTATGTTGGGGTCAACCAGTAGAGGTGGGGAGTTCCAAAAGCACCAAATGAATCGACCATCGACCAGCCGGAGTAAGAACTCCCCAAAACCCAATCGATGGAAGCACCCAGTCAGCGGACTGCAGCCAGCCTTTTTCACGCAGATGGATGTCAAAGTGCGAAGGCCACTTTCGACCTGTTTGGGTGATCTCAATACCTGATGACTGCAGCAACTGCATCCAAGGGATAGATTGCTGCGACGAGGGGTCCCGTGCAACTGAGAGCTGATCTCTGAAGCGACTCAATTCATCTGCCAGCACATTCAAACGGCCAGGGATGTGGGTGAGCTGAGGATACACTTGGTGTCGCCGCATGAACTGGAAATAAGGAGTGAGCACTGCTGCCATAGCTGGAGTCATGGTAAGACCTTTAGCCGTGGTCGCATCTGCTGCGCTATTGTCTGTGGCTTGATGACAGGCAATTGGCCCACGTGTGCAAGGCAAGTGGGTGGCAATGCAGAAAGAAAGTGCAAATTGGGCGAGAAGTTCCCAAGCTGCGATATGCTTTTGCAAATCATCTCCTATCCACGGCCACAGCGATTGAGCCTCCTCCAATGAGATGCGAAACTGAAACCAAGTCGAAGACCCATCAGGAAAGAACGCTGCACCGCCCAGTCCAGCTAGGGATTGCGATGCCATAGCATCTGCTGTAGCATTGACATGGATCCAGACTGGATGGCACATTGACAATGAGAAAGGGGTTGAAGTTAGCAACTGTAGCCATATCTTGAGGGTTTCAACCGCTTCAGTATCCAGTTTGCGGTTGGGTGTGGAGGGATCAGAGATACCTATCCAAACCCGGCGGGATTTGATATGCAACAGTTGAACTTGCTTCAGCGTGGCGACATTGGTATTAGCAACCCGACACAATGTAATGCCCTTTCTCAGTGATTGATGCTTGTGAGTCAAGGAGGTGCCCAGCTGTAATTGCTCGTCCAGGCCAGCAGTCAATGTTTGAAACGTCAAGTGATCCATTCCCACCATAGTAATGGGAATGCGATGCAGATTCTTGTAAAGTGGAATAAGGAGTGGACGTAGATGTCTCCAAGCTGAGGTTAACCACAACAGGCGTCCCACCAATGACTGCATCTCACGTAGAGTTAAACGTTCTGAGCGTTGAATGGACCTGATTTGAGATGTGATGCGCTCCATCTTCTCAATTGGGACTTCGATCGTCCAATAGGCTACAGAAATTCGCCAGCCAATCCAATCCACAGTGTCTGACAAAGCTGCTTTATGCCAGGACATGGGCACCCCAAGGAGAAGCAGAAGAACCACAATCAAGGATGCCCACAACGGAGACGAGACTTTGTCCAACCAGGCAAGGAGGTCGTCAACGTACTGCCAAAGCGCATGCCCATGAGCCAAGAGTGCATGGCAAGATCGCACCATGATACCTGCCAAACGGCCCCAATACCAGCCACTTGCACGCGCACCAAAATTGAGTGTGACGCATCTGTATAGTTCCCCATTGGCGTGAAAACAAAGGAGACCACCGTCATCAGGATGGACCAAAATTCGACGATGAGCCTTCGCTACATCCAGGGTGAGTTGGGTCATCTGTTGGTTGGACATGCTGTCAGGGGCACATTGGATGACATCTGATATACGCGGCAAAAGCATGTGGTTGGGTAGAGCAGTGTTGGCTGTGACCATACTGATCGAGCTATCGACAACCAAGCGAGGAGAGCGACCAGGTGCGAGGACCACTCCCAGCTTGCCAATGGCAGTTTTGGCATACATCTGTTTGAGTTGTGAAATGCCTCCAGGGACATGTGCGATAAAGCCTGCATCAAGCTCCTCTTGGATGAGGGAACGGACAATCTCGGGATGATCCTGGGCGCTCTTCCAGCTATCTCTGCAATCCTGAAGTGGTGTCTCCTCAGGTAGCGTGTCAGAATGTTGGGGCCATGCTGGAGACGGAGTCAGTGGCTCATTGACCCCTAAACGCACTCCAGTAGGGAGCTGAAGAAGGAAATCCGCATCTGGGTCGTGCAAAAACTTTGCCAAGCGATGCCACAACTTCAATCGAAAAGGCTGGCCAGGTGCAATGTCCAAGAGGAAATCACCTGGTGGGCAATCCAGAATCTCGAGCATGTCGTCCAGGTAGGGTTTGAGCTCTTCCTCAGAGAGAGGAGGCTCCTTGCAGCCAGACAGTAGTGCAGCAGTGACTTTGAGGCACTGTCTGCTGTCGCTAAGGCGCCTGAACCATCTTGAACGCAATGCCACCATCTTGTCGTGACGCTGCGGTTGCATATGGAGTGCTGTGCTTGGCAGTCCACCTCCGTCCTCAATACGGCCAGGTGGATCTGGCCAAGACAGTTGTGTTGGTAAGATGGACTGCCAGTCATCCACTCGTAGCACCTTGAACTCCGACGTCAAAAAGGGTCTGATGATAGTCGCCAATGCTTGTGCCAGTGGAGCAGGGTACTCAGCCGTAATCCTGCTTTTGAATGTCCCATCAGGGAGGCGAACTCCAACAATAGGTTCATGTGTCCCAGCAGGGTGGGGACAAGATCTGGCAAGGTGACTGATGGCCGACCTGTTCGACACAAACATCCATGCTTTGGCCCAATCCTTGTCAAATTGACAAGCACAAGCTTGCGCAGCATATGGTGCAACTGCGTGGACCCACTCGTACATGAGTGGATCATCCCAGGTCATGGATGACGATGGGTTCTCCAGGATGATCAAGCCTGCATGCCGATCCACGGCTGATAGTAGGCATCTCGATCTATCGTGGATAGCTGAGCTCTCTTGCACTGCAATCTGCTGTTGGGTCGTGTTGGAGGGCAGGCCATCGAGGAACTCTGGAGTACGCACCGGAGCGGGACCATTCGGTCTCAATGTGGCTCTGCTATGTTTGCAACAGTATGGAGCAGCGAGTGCCGCACCAATCCGTCCAGATGACGCCAGGCGAAGTAAACTTTCAAATGTATCATCGTTCAAAAGGTCCAGGCCATGAATGAGGTCAATAGGTTCCACTCGATCGCCAGCAAGTTCTTGGACTGCGATACTCACTGGCATTGAGGCACCCGAAAAAATGTCAAGAAAAAATCTGGCGGTACTCTGCGATGAAACTTTTCTGCTTAAAGAGGCAAAACTGGACAAAGAAGGGGAGACTGATACCACAGATGCTGGAAAAAATTCTGTAGGAGGCTCCTCTGAATTGCATGCATCTTGTGCTGTACCGTGGGAACAAGGTCAGTGTGGCGCCTCTTTGTGCCTGGAGGCCTGATGGAAGCCTCCGCAGGCCTCCCCATTCGCCTTTGCCACAGGACACTGATGTGCATACCGGCACTGCTGACCTGACTTGCACTTGCCCAGGTGATATCTTATGCAGATGCCCTTTCCATCGCTGGTCTTTTTCAGCCAGGCTTCATTCCATTTGGGGTTTTTGCCAGCGGTGTTGGACGGCTTGTCTGCCGCAGAAGCTTTTGGCTCAGGCTTCGGCTTCTTGGGGATCGGTTTGGGAAGCT